GAATATTTATCCCACTTTCTGCCTGCTTGTGTTGGGTGTGTAACACCCCCATCGCTGTTTTATCACTGCCCGAATTGGCTACGAGGGAAAACAAACTGTTCAGAGCAAATAACCCATTCCTTAGAGCATCCCAAACCCTTAATCTGGGAACAGACCTTTCACACACACTCCTGAGCCATCCTGGATGAATCAATCCTCATTAAGACATTAGGCTGCATAAATATTTGGCCGGGGAGGGAGCCCCGAGGGACAGAGCAGAGGGATGGGGAGAGTTGCAGTTGGAAATTCAATGAAATTCCCTTCGGCAGTGGGAGCCAGGCCTGGGAGAGTTGGGTCAAGCCTTCAGCCGGTGCCACTTGTCCCCTTGGGCAAGTCCTGCGGAGCAGGCTTGATTTTGCTGACCTGTCGGTTTTTTTGTTGGTTTTTTTTTTTTGCCCGTGGAAGTGGCGAGGAGCAGGTGGAAAAGGAGGAGGTGAAAATCCTGCAGCTCCTTCCCGAAGCCACAACACAACTCGGTCACAAACAATTTCTTTGCCGCCGAGGAAGGAGCTGGAATTTCTCTCTGGCGAGGCAGCAGCAGCAGAATTGCGAAGCCGGTGCCCGTTATAGAAACTTTTTAGAACTGGGGACAAGCCAAGAAAAGAGCCCAGATTGATCTCAAATCTCAGCTGGTGCTGGCGGCGCTTCCACCTCCGACTCCTGCGCTGGTGGGACGTGAGCTGGACCCTCCAAGCATCCCTGAGGAGATCTGGGATGATGTTTCCCATTGTTCTGGGTGTTTTCCCAGCTCCCTGCCCAGCCAGGAGTTCCTGCCTTGCTCTGGAAGGTGGTTTTGGGGTAGATTGAGGTTTCCTGGTTTGTAATTGCATAAACCCAGCTCTTCCCTGGCTCCGTCTCCCATCCCATCTCCACACCAGTGGGACCAGCCTGGATCATCTCATGCCATCAAAATCCTTCCCAGCAGGATAATCCAGGCTGTGGCAATGCCAGGCTGCAGCTCCCAGGGAGGTGAAAGGTTTTTTGGCTCAGATACCACCACAACCTGTCCTTGCCATGATTTCCTTCAGGAAATTCCTCAGGAGCTGTCAAGGATTTGGGTGGAAATGGGGCAGCTGGAAATTTCACCTGGTCCCTTGAGAGGGGCTGGTGCAAGGAACATCCAGGTGGGCACAGACAAGGAACAGCCCTGGCAGGATCTGGGTTGGATCCATTCCTGTTCATTCCCCGTGTTGGGAAGCTGGGCCTGGCTGGGGCTTGGCCCATCACCATTCCTCAGTTTTGGGATGGAACTCCTCCAGCAAAGCTGGAGCACCATCCATCCCCATTTCACAGAATAAAGCACATTTTAATCCACTTTTCCTCCATGCCCCGGATAAAGGGATGCCAACGGGATGGACACACCAACACGGACACCCCTGGGCACATCCAGCTCCGTGCCCAGCCCAAGCCGGGCATCCCTGGCAGGGCAGAGCTCCGAGGCTGCCCCGGCGCTGCCGAAAATGCCGGAGCACTGCATGTGTGCTGCTTCCATGTGCGCTGGTTTCCAAGGAAACCGCTCTCTCTACATGTGTGTCGCTTAACACCCTATTTGCTTTCATTTGGATAAGTCTTTAATTCCTGTGCAGCCCCGGCTCGGCGGGATCTGTTGAGCTCCGTGTGTATCCTCAGCGCACAAAATCCCTCTCCTGCCTGCCTGCCTCTTGGAAAAGTCCCTGCCTGCTCGGAGCGACTTTGCTAAACCTGTGCCTAATTGGAGCAGCTAATGCTTTCTGCAGGAATAACTGGATATTTCGCTGCTGCTTCCCCTCTAGAAACAATTAGCAGGGAAAACACGGAATGCAGGGCTCTTGTCACCTGCCACCAGCTCTGCTGCTCTGGCTCCGTGTCGGGTGGAGGAGCAGGCAGAGGATGCCCGTTCAGTGGGATGTGGGGGTAAAGCTGGGAGGTGGAGACGTGGATTTGAGTCCTTGGGAAGGCAGCAGATCCTGTCAGTGGTTAAATGTTGATTTTAAAGTGTGCTGGAGTGAGGAAGAAGGGAAGGGTGGCCATGGAAGGGTGACCCAGTTGGTGCCACACATCAGCCGGGAGAAGGGAAGGATCCAGGGAGAGCTCAGAGGCCTTGCCAGGGCCTAAAGGAGCTCCAGGAGAGCTGGAGAGGGACTGGGGACAAGGCACGGAGGGACAGGACACAGGGAATGGCTTCCCACTGCCAGAGGGCAGGGATGGATGGGATATTGGGGAGGAATTCCTGGCTGGGAGGATGGGATGAAATTCCCAGAGGAGCTGCAGCTGCCCCTGGATCCCTGGAAGTGTCCAAAGCCGGGTTGGAGCAACCTGGGATAGTGGGAAGTGTCCCTGCCCAGGGGATGGAACTGGATGGGATTTAAGGTCTCTTCCCACCCCAACCATTCCATGACTCCATGATTCCCACAGGACACACTGGATCCTTCACTCCAGCAGCTCCTCCACGGCCTGGGCCAAGCAGGAATGGGTGACAAAGCTTTGGGGATGTTTTTCCCCCCAAATTTTCATCCACAGCAAACCAAAGCCGCTTCTTCCTCCCTTCTCCCCCTTCTCCCTTCCCTTTGCACAGCAAGATGCCGCCTGTTCCTGTGCACTGGAGGAATTTTCTGATCTAAAGCCACTTTTCCTCCTCTCCCAAAATCCCTGGGGCTGGTTCATGCTTGTAAAGCTGAGCAGCTCCCGTGTCACTCGGGGCTGGCTCCCGTCTGCAGCGCTGACAGCAGTTAATGCTGTTAGCCTGTGTCGAGGAGGGATTTCAGCATTAAAAAAAAAAAAAAAACAAACCCAAAATCACCACACTCGGGCTGCTCTGCTGCTCGCAAGCACTTCAAAAACATCCCCGCCGTGTTTGGGGTGCCTGGCACGGCTCAGGGACATCACACAGGGGGTTTTGGGGTGGCTTTGGGGGCTGCTCAGCCTCGGGAGCAGCGCGGGATGAGCAGCCGGGATTAACTCGGCTCGGGGAGGGCTTTGCTATCTTTAGGTGGAAGGTGAGGGATTGTGGCTCTTAGGGTGGCCGGCAGGTGAGGAGAGAGAAAAATCCCGCAGGGCCAGCCCAGCTCAGGGCACTGACCCCAGCTCCTGTCCCCACCGGGGTCTGGCCCCGCTGGCCCCTGGCTGCGTGTGCTGTCACCTTTCTAGGCCACAATCTGTCCCCAATTCCGAGCCTGCTGTTAGCTTCACTTGCACTCTATTCTCGTGTTTGCTGTTATTTTTTAACACTTTTTTTTTTTTTCCTTCCCCATTTTTTTTCCCTTTTTTTTTTTTTAAATAATTTTTTTTTTTTTTTTGCATAAAAGCACTATCCTCTCCCCAGAGCCTGCCTGGAGCGAAGGCATGGTCTGTACAACTGCAATTATTTCGAAGAACAGATGGAGTGAGGAGCAGAAAGTCTGTTAATAGTAATAGAAATGCTACATGTTAACCTGGACAGCACACGATGACAGTCCCATGACTACACGTTCTGTTCCCACCAGCTGGGCTCCGAGCGGAGCCGAGAGATTCAGAAACGCCGAGCTCGGCTCCGCACCCTCCCCAAAGTTAGAGCTCAAATTCCTTCACACTTCCAGCCTAGGGTTTTTGGGTTGTCGGGCTTCTTCTCCCCCTCCCCTCCTCCTCCTCCTCCTTCCTATTAAACGCTGATTTCGGCGCTGTTAAGGAATTTTGCTGCTTCTTCCCCTTTTTATTTATTTAATTTTTTTTTTTTTTTCCAGCCGGCTGCAGCTGGGAGCGTGGTGGGGAGGGTGGTGGAGGCTCAGCCTCGAGGTGCTGACCTTCAGCCTCACTGGTGAGGCCAGCACGGCCCCTTTCCCACGCTCACATCTGCAGGGTTGATGTAATTCCCCCAATTCCCCCACCCTGGATGATGCCAGGCTGGGATTTACGGAGCGGGGCAGCGGCTCCCGGGCAGGGAGGTTTGCAGGAGTTTGGGATTTTCACCACAACTGTTGCAAGTTGTTGGCTCAATGGGTTGAAATCCACATTTTTCTGGTTAAAAATTTATCTCCCTGTGGAGGTGGGGTCTTCACGAGACGTGTGGGATGCCAAGGGAAGGGGGCACAGGGGGTCTCTGGTTATGGCAACAACCTGGGAGGGTTTTTCCCTCTTTACCCCAACCAGAGGTTGGGAAACGGAGCAAAAATATTGAGTCAGCCCCGGGAGCTTCGCTGTGCAAATCCCTGCCCGGTTTCACAAGCGGCCAGGGACGCAGGCACAGAGCTCCGGGAATTCCAGCGGGAATTGCGGGGCTAAATCGCGGGGCTGTTTGTGAAAGCGCTGCCCCCGGGGCGCACCTGGAGGTTTTATCGGGATATAGATCCCTTAATCCGGGGGTTTGTGGGATAATCTGGTGCCTGAGGTCCTGCCAAATCCCTGGAGATCAGCAGGTTTTCCCTCCACAGCCTCCTCCAGAGGTCACTTCCAGCCCAGCTCCAAAATATCCACGTGGGCTCCGTGCTGGGGGCACCTTTGGGTGCTGGGCACCCCCACGTGGGACCTGGGGTGGGCTGTGGGGGTTTCCTGGAGGATAAACCAGTATCATCCATAAATCCCAACTCTCCCTGCCCAATTCCATCACCCAGGAGTGGTACCTGACCCCCAGGCGCTGCTTTTTGCAGCATCCCAGGAACATCTTTAGGGTTTTTTAGGATTTTTGGGATAGAGTTTGGCTCCTCACAGCCACCCTCATGGAGGATGGGGCACCCAGATTGTCCCCAGCCATCCCTGGATCCCAAAAATGCCAGAGTGGCTGCAATCCTGCACCTCGGTGGGATGTGGCTGGAAGCAGAAGGAATTCCTTGGTGAATTTGGAGGAGGCAGAACCCACTTTTTTCTTCTGGAAAGATTTGGGATTCAATCATCCCCAGTGGGTTTGTGGGTGATACCTCCAGAATGCCGGGAAAGAGTGGGAAAACGTGAATTTGGGGGATTTTTGTTGTCACCCCATGCCCAGAGCATCCCCCTCTCCTCTCTTGCAGAACAAGAAATACGTCCTGGTGATGGTGGATCCCGACTCTCCCAACAGAGCCGACCCCAAGTACCAGTTCTGGAGGCACTGGATGGTCTCCGACATCCTGGTGAGTCCCTCGGGGTCATTCCCGAGGATTCGGGGAGGGCTGGATTCCCATGGGATGCAAACTCCTCCCGGTGACACCCCGGAGGATGAGCGTTCGCCAGAGAAATGTAAATTTGGTGCTGGGCGTGTAGGTAGGGAAGTGCTTCCTCAGGCTATAAAGAGCCAGGCTGGTCCAAAAATATTGCTGCTTGGGTTTTTTGGGTGGTTTTTTTTTTTCCCCTCTCTCCTTCTCCTAAGGAAATGCTGAAAAAAAAAAAAAAAACCAACCCAAAAAACACTTTGCCAACTCCCCACCACCAGTTTTCTCTGCGGAGACAACGCGTCCTTCCAAACAGCTCCTGCTGCCAGTTAGGGTTTGTGGTTAAAAAAAGTGGGTTTGGTGAAAATCTCAATTCCCTTTCTAGTTTTTAATTTTTAAAAAAAAATTAAAAATGGTTTGAATTCAGTGAGAAAACAAGAGGGGGAAAATGAGTTTGGGATGAATTGTGGTGCTGGGCTCATGGGATGAGTCCTTCCCCCTGTCCTGGTGGGTCGTGGCTTTGCTCCCAGAAATATTTTGGAAAAGCAGTTTTTTCCCCCTCCTGCTTGTTTTTATGTCTTCAAAAAAAACCGAGGTGTTGCAGCCCTAAATCAATCTAACTGATAATCTGGGTACTAAAGCCTAATTAAGATATCAATTAATTTGCAGCGTGCATTTAACAAGAAATATCGCGTCGTTCTCCTCTATTATTCTCTGAAATTACTGCTGAGGGCTCTTTGTACAGATACCTTAATTAGACTTTTTATTGTTAATGGGCATATTAAGCAAATTAAAACGGGATATTAATACTTTCCATGAATTCCATAATTGGCTGAAAAATAGGAGGCATCGGGAATAATTGCGGGAATTTGTGTACAGGGCTTGGGTTGGTTGTTTTTTTTTTTTTTTTTTTCCGTGTTGTTTTGTGTTTTTATCCTTCACAGAAACCCTTCTGCATTTCTAACAACAGGGTCCTGAAAGTCTCTCATTAATTTTAATATTTACCAAACGCAAAGGAGCCCAAGCTCCTGTGTTTCCTTCTGTACACAGATCCTTCGGAGCCGTTGCCTCTTGCTAATTATTGTGGCTTTCCTTTTTTTAATTTTTTTTTTTTTTTCCGGGGAGTATAAAATCCTTTAAGCAAAGAAGGCAAATGTGGGATTCCAACCTGCAGCACGAATGGAAGGTGGGATTTTATTTTTCCCCCCGTGGTGTTTGGGTGATGCCATTTGTGATCTCCAAGGTCAAAAATTCTGTGTCAGGCCATGAAAGAGGGTGGAGAAAAAGGAGATTTTTGGGAAGGAAAAGGGTTTTCCCCATCTGATCCCAGCCCCAACAATTCCTTAAGCTTTCTTATCACGAGATAAAAAATATAAATATAAACACACATATCTGAGCAGGGATTTGGCCTCGATGCTCCTGATGGTCCCTTCCAACGTGAGATATTCACTGATTCCATGAAATACTCTATATAAAACCTATACATTGATATGATCCCTATAATGATGGGATAAATATATCCCCTCTATCTCCCGTGGGTGTGTGTATATGTATCTCTCCTCTACACACACAGAAACGCTTATAAATCCCCCAAATCCCACACAAGCACAATAAACCACCTAAAAAACCCCATCCCCACCCCGTGAGGACACGGTGGGGACAAAAACCACCTCAGCTCCGTGCCTGTGTCTGGGGGTGCACTGGGGGTGTCCCGGTTTGTCGTGCTGGGGCTGCAGGTGGAGTTTTCCCAATCCCCCAGCCCCAAATGTGGGTGCGGAGCCGGCGGGCTCAGCCACATGGTGTCTCGTTGAGATGCAGATCCTCGGGGGGATATGGAAGCCTTGGCTCCGGGGAGCTTCAGCTGACAGCCTTATTTGCACACTGGCTCTAAAATAACCGTGTAGGCTTTACATGACACCTTCTGTTGCTTTGGTGCAGAGAGGGGCTCGCAAGTGCCTCTCTCCGGGAGGGACGGGGTGGCCAGAGCCGTGCCAGGGGGGCTGGCAGAGCCCCCACGCCTGCCGGTGCCCCGGTGTCACCCCAGTGTCACCCAGTGTCACCCCAGCACTGAGCTGGTGTCACCTCAGTATGGCCCAGTGTCGCCCAGCATTGCTCGGGTACCACCCCAGTGTCACCCACTATTGCCCAGCATCACCCAGTGTCACCCCAGTATGGCCCAGTATCGCCCAGCAGTGCTTGAGTACCACCCCAGTAT